TTAGGCATGAGTATGTGTTGTGTATCTGTCATATTTTAGGATGCACATGTGCTGTATATTTGTTTTTTTTATTTGCATTGTCAGATATTAAGACTATCTACGGACTGTAGACCAGAGCTCATCTTAGCCGTCTCCCCTTGACGTTGACACCCGATACTGCGTGGAAGTGATGAGTTGGCTTTGATCGGGTATAAAAAGAAATAGTGTATACTTACCTCGATTAGTTTGATTCGCCGAAGTTCTAAGTCATGTTCAAATGTTTTGAGTTTCGATTTATTGTTCAATCACATACAATAGACAAAGCACACAATGAATATAATCGAAAATTCAAGACAAATTTTACGGAACATAGATACAAAGCACAACAGAAGAAAAAGAAAAAAGAAAAGAAAATGTTATTTTCGTGGTATTAATGCACGAAAGTCGTGGAAATTATCGATTCTATTGGAAAATAGAAAAGAAAACCATTCAGAAATAGGGTGTGGGTGTGGGTGTGGGTGTGGGTGTGGGTGTGGGTGTGAACAGCTACCATAATCCAGATTTCACGTCGGCAAAGACGATCATCAGACGGCAATATATTCTAAATGATTAAAAATCATAAGAATGAATTATATCTGTTATACATCCAAATGAATGAATATATAATGATAATATCGGTATACTGTAGTGTGAACAGCTACCATAATCCAGATTTCCTTTGAGTCAGATGGATTTGTTGTTGTTTGTATAAATGTTTTCAGTAGATTTTCTTGTCTAGAAGTAGAGAGTAATTATATTAAGAGTTTATTGTGAAGAATATATATATATGTGTTAAGTAGTGACTAATTTATTTCATTGATTTTGAATGAGAGTGGATGGGGAACAAATGTCTATAGAAGTAAAATCAGTTTTTCAGTATTGAAATGGTATTGGTTGAGTTTTGATTTGACGTGTTCAAGATTGTTTCTTTCTTAACATTTGCATTCGGTTGAGTTTGATTTTGATTTTGACTTGGAAACTGATGGCTTATTCACTTTTGTTTTTGATGAATGGTCCTAAACGTTAAAAGAAAGAAGAGTTTTTTTCATATTTATTTCAATGGGTAGATCGGTAGTATTATACATACATTAACTGATATGTGTTTGGAGAAGACTTACTTTTTTTTGTTATGTTTTGTAGTAGTTTTTTATTTGGTTTTTTTCGTATTAGTTCATTTTGAGCATTTCGACGATTTTTATTACCGACAATAAGTTTAGCATGAATAGCTGGTGTGTTTTTGAAGATATCTTCGTATACTTGATGCATATCTTTTTTACACGATTGAAAACGCTTTTCATGTGTATAGTGAATAAATAGTTTATCTGTGTAACTTGTCATTGCTGCTGCGGTGTTCTTCGTTGGCACTGTTGCTTGCATGATTTCATCACCTGTTTGGTCGTTATTGATGTTAGCTGTAGCAGCACTGGTTGTTGTTTGTGATTGTCGAGTTGTTGGTATACCTAACAGTTTTTGGCGCTTGAATAAGAATTGATTTTCATCATAAATAAATGGTAAAAATGGCGATGTAGATTGATTTTCGAAGAAACATTTATTAAATTCATTTTCGATAAATGTTGATGGATATCTAAATCATGTGTAGTTAATAAAACTGATTCTATGATGAATATATGTAGATTAATAACTTACCCATTATATAGTAGCATTAATTTAATATAACGTCGTTCATAATGAAATGCTTTAAAGGTCGATGAATATCTGACAGCACGTGCAAGAGAAGTTTTGATAATATTAGTAAAAACATGTCGAGGATGATCGGATGTAAATGGTACTACACAAGGTTGTGCTGCTGGTTTATGATAAACTGATGTTGTTAAAGTACCATAATCGTTTGCGAGAAGTACATCGAGAAATGGTAAACTATGACTTATTTTATAATCTAATTTGATATTTGGATGCCATTGATTTGCTTGATCTAATAAATCTTTTAATTCTTGTTCTGATTTATTCCAAGTCATAAAGATATCATCGATGTACCTATGAAAAATTATAGAATAAAAGGTTTTTTTCCGTGTTAACTAAACATACCTGCCATAAAATTCACCTGTTTTATTTTGTTCATCAACTAATCTCTTTTGCCAATGCCACATAAAAATATTAGCTAAAGTTAATGTAAAAGATGAACCCATAGCACCACCAGTCGTTTGTTTATAGATTTTTTTATCATAGGCAAAAGCATTTTCTTGTAATACAATTGAAGCTAATTCTTTTATCGTAATAGGATCAATGCATTTGACTTTTTTATATCCATGTACATTAAGAAATTCAACTAATATTGCCAATGATTCTTCTTGTGGTAACATTGTATATAAATTATGAATATCAAATGTACAAAAAAGAGTTGTTGATTTAAGAAGACCTTTATTACTATATTTGTTAAGTTCAGTAATTAAATGAGCACCATCAATAATGGTTGTATCCTTGCATTTGTCTTGAAATAGGGGTCGTAACGTTTTATCTAAACATTTTGAGATTTTTGTTGTTGAAGCAGAAATTGTACTCTCAATTGGACGAACTGGTATATCATCCTAAAAATTTTCAATCAAATAAAATAAATACTTCTGAATTTTATATTGAACTTATAATATACCTTATGTGTTTTAGGATTAAAATATAGATGAGCTAATTCACATTTTGATCGATCAGGCATCATTTCTTCATATTGCCATTTTAATATGAGTTTTTTTGTACAAAGTTTATTAAGTAATTGTTTGACTTTATCAAATATTTCATTGAATGGATTGTAAGATATTTCATCAAATGCATTTGTATCAGAGAAAAATTTTTGTGCTTTTTTTTCGAAATCAATACTTGAACCAATATAAAAATTATGACCTTTATCAGTTACACGAATTATAAGATCCATATTTTTAATTATTTTTCGAATTGATCCAAGAATTTGTGCTTGTTCAAGAGTTTGCAATTGAACTTTATATGGTAATGGAGAAGAATAACATTGATTAAGATAATTTAAAAGATGATCTGAATATTCTGTAAAAATTGGATTTGATCGTGGTATACAATGAGGTTTGTTGATAAGATTATTTTTAACCTTTTTACAAATATCTTCATGTTCATCTTTAATTGCAGCTTGTTGTTGAACTTGAGGACGAATAGCACTTTGATTTAATCTTATATAAGATGGACCTAGAATATATTGAAAATCAATAAAATAATACGAATAATAATAATAAATCTATTCTATTCTAGATAATATCTTACCTAATGAAAGATAATTCCATTGACGTGTATCAAATGGATTCGAAATTAGATCAAGATACGGTTCAGGCCATACACCAATAACAACTTTTGTTGATGATGAACGTTGACGATTTTGTAGGATTATTTTTCGAAAAGAGGACATTTTATTATTGATATCATTTTTTAATTTTGATATTCGACAATTGATATATTGTTGAACTTGATTGAGAACAGATGTACTAGTAGTAGTCATATTCGTTAATACATATGATTCTAAATTTATATATGCATTTTGATATTGTAGTTCATATTCTGTTATTTTAATTTCATAAGTATGCAAAAGATAATTTAACCATGTACGTTTTGCTTCTTGTATGATTTTATAATGTTTATTTTTTACTTCAATACTTTTTTGCTCATTATTCAATGGTAAGTAACTAATAGGTGCCATGAAGTTTTGTACATGATCGAGATTTTGTGGTAAAAATTTACAATGAATACGTATTTCTAACATTAATTTTTCTTTCCAAATTGCTGCTTGTTTTTCTCGTATTGTCATTAATTGACCTATGTAATCTTCCTAGAAAAGAATTATTCAAATATATATATAAAATATACATATCATTGATTAAAATCAATTTAGATTTACTTGTATATTAGTTGTAGGTAAATTTGTATATATTTGTGTAAATAATTCTGTTTGATGAATATCTTCTTTAAATTTAATCAATTCATCATTGTTTCTTTGTGATAAATAGTTTCGTTCACGAGCTACTAATTCTTTAAGACGTTGCTCAATTAAACCAAATGATAATTCTCTGATTGGACATGTTTGAGAATATTTTGATAATTCAAATTGACAATGATTTATTTGGTTTTTGATATTCTGTATAAAATTTATTAAATAGTCTTTACATTCATTGGAGTCATGTGTTTTTGCCATTTTATACAGTTGATCCTTTTGTTTTCAAAAATACAAAAAAGTATATTGTATAAAATGAATTAAAAATAAACAAACTTACTGGCCATACACATTGTTGTAGACCAATATCTAAATATGATTGCCATAATTCTTGATCTTTTTCTAAACAATATTGTTGATCTAACAATTCAAGTTGCATATGAAGAAATTTTTTTTCATCTTTGTTCTTCAATGTATAATTTAATGTTTTATTTAATATTTGATTAAGTATTGATGATGTTCGTGTCAAATACATAGGACATCTATATAATATGAAGTATATTGTAGATATTTTAAATACTAAACATGTTTTCGAAAACATACCGATAATTGTTATTCATATTGATATCAGTAGTCATCTTTTTCGACGATGGCTGCACGATGGATATTGAACTTGTAGTTTTAGACAATTGTTGTGATGATATATCTCGTTTACGTTTAAAAACATTTGTTGTAGTTGTTGTTGGTTGTGATTGATTAGTTGTTCGAGCTGTTAATTGTAAATTACAATTTGTCGTAGATCTTTTAGGCTGCTGTTTTTGAATTTTCTTATGAGTATGATTTCTTTTCTTAAGTAATTTTTCTATTTTATGTGGTTGCATTTTATGAGCCCGACATTTTCTTCTAAATCGTTGATTTCTTCGATTACCACGACATTTTTTCGTTTGCTCTTCTTGTTGTTGTTCATTTGGAAATAATAGATGATTATTTTGTGTGGGGTGTGGGTGTGTATTATAATATAAAGAGATGCTACGACTATAGTTTCGATCTTTCTCAGAGATCAAAATCTTCAGGTAACTTTAGCACTGCATAAATTTATATAATACCTTGAAAAGATTTACAATTAAATTAAATCTTCCAAGAATTAACTTATATAAATATAAAGCAAAGCAGAGAATCCTTTATTGTTTATAATATGGGTGTGTATTATAATATAAAGAGATGCTACGACTATAGTTTCGATCTTTCTCAGAGATCAAAATCTTCAGGTAACTTTAGCACTGCATAAATTCATTAGTTGAAGTGAAAGAAATCAAAGAGTTTCCAGTTGTTCAAGTGGCAGATGGAAGTGAAGGAAATGAACGGTTTTGTATAATATGACGATAGCATGACTTGAAGGTTTTTAGCTTTAGTTTCGAGAATGATGAGATTGGTTCGAGTTGTGGTTTGTGAGAAAGACGTTTTGTAAACGTGAGTTTGGTGGGAATTAGTTTTGAGAAGGTAGTTTTCATGCTAGTGAAAAATATTGGACTAACTGATGACTGTTGTTGTTGTGATTGTCGTTGTCGTAGGTTGGTGTCGTGTTTGACGGCTTAAGAGTATCGTGGAATTATGTTAGTATATGATTTGATCGTGTAATCAATGATATCGATGCGGTAATTGTCGAATGGTTTTTGTTTCAGTAATCTAGAAAAAGAGATTTGAAAAGGTATGTTTTTAAAATAGGATTTTCTTGGTTTTGTTGTATCTTATTCAAGTTGGTGAAGCGAAAGAAATAAATAGGTGTCAGGTTTAGACTTATGAGGTCTTTGAAGGTAGTGGGGATAGAAATGAATTGATGTTTGGTTTTGATTTGACTGAAAGATGTGTGATGAATTTACGACTTTTATGGGTTGGAATATAAAATATTTTAGAGAAATGTATGATGATCATATTAAGTAGTCTATGAAATTGGTGTTTTCTTTTTTATGGATGTGATATAAATAGTTTATTGTTTTAATGATTATTTACAGTAAATGAAAAATGATCTTGGTTATTAATAAGAAAATTAGGACTACACTAAACTATGAGATAAATAGTTCATGATTTTATGTGTAAGAGTTAATATTTATTTTTTGATGGATATTGGTTTTGACAAATCATTTCAATATTGAATTTGTCAGAATCTGATTCATAATCGTGAAGACAGTGACGATTCCAGATACGTTCAAAATCTTGTTTAAAGTATGTGAATCGCTTGTTTTTGAATGGATATGAAATATACCATGTTTCTTGTTCCTGTGCTTGTTTACGACGTTCAATTTCAGTTCTTATTCTTTTATAATCATATTGACGAACACGATGACGAAGCTTACCGTAATCATTTGGGTTCAAATAAATTTCACCATTAGTAAAGTGAGTGAAAAAGTTTCCTATCTCGTTCAAAATATCATGATACGCATATAAAGATCGTGTATTACTATTAAGATCTAATGACCAATGAATAAAATTTTGTTCATGTTCAAAATCGAATATATTGGAACATGATCGTACAGCACGAAGAAGAGCTTCTTGAATTAATGATGATATCGATCTATCATTATCGATTGGTAACAATTGATTAGATATATATGGTAAAGAATAAGGTTCAATTTGTAGATTGTGTTTAACTTGAGTTCGAAGACGACCATTAATATGACTTATTTCCGCGTCAAGATAAGTGACTGTTTTATCAATTGAAACTGTTAATAAAAATGGTGATAATTGTTGCTGTTGATAAAGCGTTGAATTGAGTAATGTACGAAATTCATCAACCGATCCATTCCAAGTTATAAATATTTCATCAAGACATCTACAATAAGTAAAAAGTCATAGTATGGTGATATATCAAAAGAGATGAACACATCATAGTCATTATAATACTATACCTGCCAAATAATTCATTTTTCGTCATTAAACTATTGACTAACTCTTGTTGCCAATAAAATATATAGATATCAGCCAATAATGAAGATAATAGTGAACCAGATCCACAACCTTTTACTTGTTGATAGATAGTATCATGATAGAAAAAGATTTGATTTTGAAGAACTAAACGAACAAGTTCAAGAATAGTTTCAATTGTCATTCCTTGAATTTCTCTTTCAGGTAAATAAATATTAAGAAAACGTTCTAATGTTTGAATAGCATAATCATGTGGAAAAGTTGAACATAAATTATTAATATGAATAGTAATAAAGAAAGTATTTGATTGAAGATAACCTTTGTGTTGATAAGATTCAAGTGCATCAATAGCATCAGCTCCATTGAAAAATGTTATTGATTTAGCTGTTTGATCATAAATAGGTTGAAGAAGACGTTTTAAATGTCGAGAAACATTAATTGTAGGTCCCAAACAACAAGTCATTATGGGTTGACAATGTACTTCTTGCTACAAGTATATATATTTATTGTATAAATAAAGAAAAGTTGGTTAATAAAAAATAAAAATAAATTTTACCTGACGTGTATCTGGTTGAAAAGATAGATAATCCATTTGAACTTTTGATTCATCAACAATATTCATTTGTTGTAATTGAATAGAACTGATAGATTTATTAGTATGTAGTTTCTCTAATAATGTTTTTACTCTTCTAATTATATCATACAGAGGATATCTGACAAAGTTTTTATATTTTTGTCCATACTTATTATGTTCAATCAAAGAATAGGCACAAGTACGTCTCATATATTCAGATATATGTTGTTCTATTTCACTTGTTTGACATAAATAATATGTTTGACTATTATATACTTTCAATAATACATAATCTTTATCTTCTAATTCACGTTGAATTGGTTGAATATATTTCTTTGTTCGAATTGAAATTAATGGTCGTCGTTGTCGTAAATTGAATGATGATGTTACTTGTACTTGTTGTTGTTGTTCTTGTGGTAATAAATCTTCATCATTAATAATTTTTATCCAGTCTATGTCTTCATCCGCATCATAATCATTACAATCACAATCTTCATCATCATCATCATCATCATCATCATCATCATCATCATCATCATCATCATCATCATCATCATCATTATTTTTATCATCTTGAATTGAGCGACGAACGATAACATGCATTGGTGTACCATATTTTTCAATCAATTGAAATATTGTATTGGATATTAAATCGGATTTATTTGCCTTTGATGGTTGTTTTTTGAATATAGGAACATTATTTTGTATAGATTCCCTGCTACTATCACGAAGAACAAGTTCATTGGACTATAATTAGTAACAATAAAGAAAAAGAAAAGATTATTATTTGTTTCACTATCTATCTATCTTTATATATATATATATATATATTATAAGAACTTTACTTTATCGAATTGCTGTTGTTGTTGTTGTTGTTGTTGTTGTTGAAAACGCTCTGACCATTCAATAAATTTAAGTTGTGCTGCATGTTCACGTTGTTCACATTGTTCCAATTGTTTATGTAATGCATCTTGTCGTCTGAGTTTTTCTTCTTCGTCGATTTGTTCAATATTGTTGATCTGTCTCACATGTTCATTATAATTCTGTTCGAATTCTTCAACAGCTTGAAATAGTTTTAATTGTTCTTGTTCCCATTGTTCTTTTCTTTCTTTCTGTTCATCTTCTTCTTGCTCTAATTTTTCCAATTGATCTTCACGTTCCGCTTCTAATTCATGATCCAAATCTTCTTCTTTCGCGTTTTCTCGTCGTTGTAACCATTTATTTTTTCGACGTTCTTCATATTGCCATTCATATGATGTTTTTAGTTGATTTTTCCATTGTACTTGTTGTCTTATTCGTCGTTGTTTTAATGTTATTTCATTGTCATGATATTGTTTGTTTAAGTTTTCATATTCAATATATGTATGCAAGACTAAATCTTGTTGTTGTATCTGTTTTCAAGAAAGAAAGAAATTGTAATATTATAATCAGAAAAATTGCATGAACTTACTTGATTATTTGCACTTGAATTTTGTGTCATCATTATATTATTGTTATTGGTAATATTCATGAATTGACTATATTATAATCTAAAATTGAATAGAGGTATTGAAGATATTGTTTAAGATTCTTAGTGAATGTATGCTACAAGATTATTAAATATACTTAGGATAATACAAAAACAAAAAGGAAGAGAAAGAAACAAAAAGGCAACTGTTTGTGTTTTGGGTAATGGATTAGTACGACGCATTTTACTACTGTACACAAGCATGTCCAAAATTAACCATTCATTCTCGTCGTCGCTCAATAGGATATTGTCTTAAGTAAGAATATTTATTGTAGCAGTCATATGAAACGAATGAACTAAAATGATATATATGTAAACAAAACAAAAAAGAAGCAAAATGTATATCAATAAATAGGTAAGTCTAACTGAAACAAATAATTAAATAATTTGTTTGAGTATCATATACCATTGATCAATTGAGTTTTGATGAATTACCAACGTTTGATTCTATTATTATCAAAAAAAATAAGTATTAGATTTTCAATAAAAATCTTCTAATTTCTAAGTAAAACAGGTCGTTGTACATTGAATACATGAGTCTGATTACTTGTCAAATATTGTTATTGACTACATAGTCACAGTATTTAAAGGCATTAACATTGTTTTTGGTGGTTTCTTCTTGACAAGTAATTGGTTTAGATTTTTATTACTTCTTTTGCCAATTTTCAAATGAACACTTTTCATTGTTGAATTATTATCGATATAATGCTTTTTCCATAGTTTTTTCAATTCTTGTGGAAATTTTAACATTGGACCACTATCGAAAGTAAAATAGACACGAATGTCTCTTGGATTAGTATTCTGCGGTTGATTATTATTTAAGGCTATATTCTGCTTTTGTTTTTCTCGGCGTGTTGGTTGCATTAATAATTCTCGATGTAATTCTCTATATACACCTCCATCCAATTGTTCCATTAAGGACATAACATTGTTTTTTTGAAAAAATTGTTTAAAATGATAGGAAATAAAGTTTGGTGGATAGCCATTTAAGAGCAAAGTAAATTCAATATTTAGTCGTTCTTGATCAAAATCTTCTACATTAGAACAGAGACGTGCTGCTCGAATTAATTGTGATTT